GGAAGGAAGGAAGGAAGGAAGGAAGGAAGGAAGGAAGGAAGGAAGGAAGGAAGGAAGGAAGGAAGGAAGGAAAAGGAAGGAAATGTGACAGAGCAGCACATTCAAATTAGAAGTCCACATACACTGGCTCTTCGTGCATTACTTAGAACTTCTTTTTTAATTTTTTATTTATTACAATTTATTAACTTTGTATCCCAGCTGTAGCCCTCTCCCTCGTCCCCTCACAATCCAGCCCTCCCTCCCCCTTCTCCTCCCATGCCCCTTCCCCTAGTCCATTGATACAGGAGGTGTTCCTCCCCTTCCATCTGACCCTAGCCTATCAGGTCTCATCATGATTGTCTGCATTGTCTCTTTGGCCTGGTAAGGCCGCTCCTCCCTCAGGGGGAGGTGATCAAAGAGCCTTAGCCTTGTTTCCATAGTGTAGTGGTTATCATGTTCACCTCATACTTTGGAACTTCTTAATGCATGCAGCCTGACAATTCACTTGATCCTACTCACTTAATAGGCCAAGAAACACTTTTACTTTTGTAAATATATAATATTTACATCGTCAAATCCATTAAGATTTACAATGAGAAGTTTAAATAATAGTGACTTGTAATAATTAATAACTACTGGAAACTCAGCAAAAGGCCAAATGACATTTTAATTTAATATAACTGCAGAGTTTATACCAATTCAAAGATGTTCGGCTAATATGATAACTTAACTATCACAGGTGGTTAAAATAGTAATTAGGTATGAAGGGTCCTTCAAAACAGGGAAACAGCACAAAGCCCCCGAAGCCTGAGAGCCATTGCTAGAGCTCATAGGGACCAACTGCTACACTGGACTCGGCATGTTCCCTACAACAGTTTTCAGTAGTAGACCTCAGGTGCTCAGCCTGGATCACAACGGCAAAAGGACTGACTTTCTCCGGTGAGGAAAACAGCTACACATGGTCTTGTTTCCTCAAACCCCCCATAGGTTAGAGAAAAAGAGGTGAAGAACAGAGGCAACAATGGCCTTCAGAAAGGTACACATAGTAATAAGGGCCTAAGGCATTATATACCCATATGTTTTTAAAGTTTTAAATTGCAAACTTCCGGTTTGTAACAAAAAAATATTTCTAATAAAGACTAAGACTTTTTTTATATAGTGCCAATTACAGCCTCATATGGAGAGTTGCATATTTTCAGTTATTCTTTCCTTTAAGAGATACAATCTTCAAGTATTACAGATTTATGAAAATTACATAAAAAGTACTACGGCTTGGGTGAGAGCTAAGAAACTCTAAAGGATCCACTGTGACTAAAGGCGCAGCCCTGACATGGTGTTTCTGGGAGGCGGCAGACCCTTGAAAGGCAGAGCCAAGCACAAGATTGCTTATCTCATTGAGGATGTGCCCTTCAAAAGGGACTGGAACACCTTGATTGTCATCTCTTTTTCTCTTCTCTGGTTCTAGATGTAACCAATTTGCTTCTATACATGATCCCACCATGTACCACCCTCTTCTATTCTCACCAAAACTGAGTCAATGCAGCCATTCAGCATGCCCCTGAATCTCCACAACTGTGGGCCAAACAAACTGAGCTGTGTCAAGCATTTTGTTAATAGTAATACAAAGATGAGTACTACAAAGGGTTAACGCAGGACATGTCTTACTGTACGACTTGTGCTTGTGCCATTACTGTTAACTGTGTGAGAGAATCTGTATTTTCAGCTAGTGATCACTTTACCTTTGCAGCAAGCTGTAGTCCAATTTTGTCAGCTTCAGCCTCCAATGTTCTACTGTATGGTCTATCAAACATATACTAAAAAGAAACAGGACACATAAACTCCATTAAGCGGATTTATTTCATGATCAAAGAAATTCTTAAATGAACATTAAATTAATTTCATAGAAAATCTAGTATGAAATATCTATCCTCTAGGGTGCAAAGTGTACATGTGACCTCTGTTTCTTCCATTAGACTCACACTTTAAACAGGAAAAAAGGAAAAGTTACGCATATGCATTCCCAGAAAGCTTGTACTGCCATTAGCCTCTTTCATTTTCTACTTATAATCTCCACTACTGAACAAAGTGCTGCCTAAGTACGCACACTGGTACAAGTATGGCCAAGAAACGTCAATCTCACAGATTTCAAAGGAAATCAAAAAAATACAGGTATATGAGAGCCAACGACACTAGCAGAAAACTTCAGTGAGAAACTTAAGTACAGGGTAGAGCCTCTTCTATGATGAATTATCTTCATTTTCTTTTCTAAGTATTGATTAGCTAGAAAAATAAAATTTTCTCCTGACTACAATTTTTTTAGAAAACACAAACCGCTACCCGAACTTTAATTTTCCTAATTATGTATATTTATGAGTATATTTTCCAATTAAATTCTAATTTGCAGTAAGTACTATAACTTTGTAGGAGCTAGATCAATAAGCAGGACTTTTCAGAAAGGAGCTATTAATCCAGGAAGCAACTTTTCAAACCCAGCACGTGCTTGTGATGGCTACAAGCAACCTAAACCGCATTCACAGGAGGTGAGTACAGACACGACCTCCTTGCGGCTCAGTTACATTTGGTCAAGCTGAGAGCTGCGTGGCAGAGAGTCAGCTCTCAGCGCACAGCCTGAGTGTGCACCGCTGAGTGCGCTAACCCAATGATGCATCGACTTCAACAGGGAGCTCACACGGCAATATGCACAATGAAGCTGGTAACAACAAACTTCTACAGAGGCCAATGATGAAAGTGATCATTCCTTCAACCAAGTTCTTACTTTGTGCCAGGTACTATGCAAAACGCTTTTTAAAGTGACTCTCAAGTCGGTGTGACTGATTGGCTAATTTTTACTCTTGAAGACATTTGTAAATACTTGGGAGTTATAAGGTCATGCTGATGTTACCTAAGTAGTCTCAAACTCATGAACTCAAGCAAATGTCCTGCCTGAGCTTCTCCAGTAGCTAGGACTAGAGCTGGATGCCACCATGACAGCTACTAGAGGCATTTGTTTAATTATTACTTTTAGATTTATTTTATGTGTGTGTGTTGCCTATATGTATGTACATAGGCCTGGTGCACATGGAGGCCAAGAGGACATCTAATCCCCTGCTTACAGATGATTGTAAGCCACCAAATGCTTTCTGGGAACCAAACTGAACCCAGGTCCTCTAAAAGAAGAACACAGACTCTTAACCACTGAGCCATCCAGACACTGTAGACAGCAAGAACTATGGGCATCTACTGAAGAGGTTGAAAATGCAGGAAAACAACCTACAATACCAGGATCAGTCCCCACAGCAAATAATAACCCAGACTGAAATATCAGTAGTTTTCAGAGAATCCTGGTATATTCACTCAATCATCATAGTAAATAAGTGGGTGGCAGGGAATGTGGGCAATTCTACAGCGCAGCACTGACAGCATTCCTTTCTGCCCCCAAAACGTGATGAACTGGCTTGCAGAGAGAAAAAAACATCTCCTGACAACAGTCGCCGAGGGGTCTCAATGAGGAGAAAAGAACCATACTAAAGGCATCCCTGCTTTATCTTCAGCTTAGTTATTAAGTAGAAAATTTATACTCAAGATATGAGACTCATTTAGTATTTCAAAAGAAAAACAGTTACATTGCCCCTGTTACCATCAACTTTTATGATTCTATTATTTTAAAAAGCATCTGCTTATACATAAGAGGAAACTACATTAACTCCATCGACAGCCCAGCAGGTCAGTGACAGAACAAAGCTCCCAACTGATCTCCTACAATCTGAGCCTGTTCCTTCTTCTTCAACCTGAAAACCATTGTTTCAATCTAAACGCAGCCCAATGATACATCAACACTCAGTCAATGACTTTCTCAGTTGCAGAAGCTATTTGTCCCAGATGGTACATGATGGGTGCTCCAGCAAATCATTAAATAAGCCAATAAAAGTCTATTCCTAAATAACAAAACTTCCAGGAACAAGAGGAAATATTTGAAGAAAGATGTAAAATAAAATAATTAACCTGGATAACTTAGTTGTGAGGACCCCAAGACTGATCCTCGGTAATGTAGGACTTTGAACACAGTGCAGGACTTCATCTTAAGATGTTATCATTATCAGCACTAAAGCACCTAGTAAAACTGTTCTCCTGATGTGTTCTACACGGTGCTGTTTTAGCTGAGCATTAGCAGCAATGGAGAATGGTATGAAACTTCAGCCAGCCCCACGCTCATTAAAACTTCCGGCGTCTTGGAAGAGCTCTCTGGGAACATCAGTGAGGACACTGTCACAGATAAGAGAAGGACCAGTGACTAGCTTTTCTCTCTGTAATATCAATAACTATGAATGTAAAAAAAAAACCGTTATATTAGCCCAAAGTAGGAACAGAAGCTCTTTTAATCAATTCTTATAAATCACTGGCCAGGTCTAATGTTCTTTAATTAAATACTATATGGGACTAGAACCTATAAAAGAAAAAGAGACACTAAACTTGAGTACTGTTGTTCAGGACAGACTTTAAACAGCTCTGATAAACGCTGCTTAACATGAACACTGTTGCGTGTTGACCACAGGCCATTGCAGACTTACCTCCTGCAACTTTGACTGTATCCAATGGCCCAGAACTGCCAAGCTATCTCGTGGACAAACAGCCCAAATCATTGTGAGAAAAATCATGCCAAGGAAATCCAGTAAGTGAACCAAGCTAGCCTTTTCTGCCTGAGAATAATAAGAATGATGAAAACCACATTTAGTAAGTGGAAACACTGCATATTTATACTTTCTAGCCAGTGTTCAATTATAAGAAATAATATGTGTGTTCAACTGGACAACATGAGCCAAGATCTGATTTTTAAAATTGTTTTGTTATATTTATTTTTTGTTTGTGTGCATATATTTGGGGCATAGGTATGCCACAATACAAGGAGGTCAGAGGACAACCTGTGAGAGTCAGTTCTCTCCCTCCATGTGGGGAGCAGAGAGCTAACTCATGACATCAGGCGTGAGGCCACCATTTTTCCTTCCTGAACCACCTTATCAAAGATCCAAATCTCCCTGCTCTTGTCCATGCCATTTCCCGGAATGTCCTCTTTGTTTTGCTTACACACTTGTGAGTCATTTTGCCTTTGACTAACATTTTACTGGTTTTGCTGAGCTAATCATTCATCGTCAGAGACAGTCACAATAAACTAGTTTCTTATACAAGCAAACACAATTTTTTCTAGTTCAATAAGCCTCATTTTATAGATAATAAAATGGAAATGGAGATTTTATGATTGCCCCAATTCACACAGCTATTAGTAGAAGGAGCAAAAATCTAAGACAAGGCTATTTTGGTTTCTAATGTAGACACTATGTTGTACAAATCAAAAAAAGTGTTAGTTGTACTTACATTGTTACATAAACATATATATGTGTGTATGTATATAATAAATAATACACTCAATACTAGAAAATTCAGAAACTTTCAAATTTACTTTAAATAAGCATTTTGGTATTTATGATTTAATATATGAAAGCATAACATATTTATAAATAAGTTTTTTATTTTGTTAAGTGTGGTATTTCTCACTGAGAGCTGGGTTCTGTGAGTTTCAGACATAATCACTGCAGTAACCAGAAAATGTTTGTATAAAATATGTGTTCTGCACAGTAATGTCCAGTAAAAGGTAAATGCATGGGCTTATTCACCACACACTGAAGCCAGACCTTACCAAGATAAATCATCCTCACAAAAGAAACTATCACATTGTTTTGATAGCTATCACAGTTAATAGCTGTTAGCTATTAAAACAATTATTGAATTATTTTACCACAAAAGACTGAAGTCAAAATGGCAAAGTGTTTATGAAGAGAACAATTGCTATGAATTATTAAAGAGTATAGCTGTTGTTAGCCTAAAAAAAAAAAAAAAAAAAAAAAAAAAAACAAATAGAAATATTTTTGTTAGTTTGTGGCTTTGCTTTTTGAGACACGGTTTTTCTGGCTGTCCTGAAACTCGCTCTGTAGACCAGGCTGGCCTCAAACTCAGAGATCCACCTGCCTCTGCCTCCCAAGTGCTGGGAGTAAAGGGACCACCACTATGCCTGGCCTAGAAATATTTTAAAATTGTGTATTTGTAGAAAAAAAGGAAACAGCATAAAAGCCAGATTTAATCACAACTAAGACTTCCAAAAGATAAAATACTGCACTGATAAAAGAGGACTTTGTCAAAGACATGTCAGCTGTTTTCCATCACAGCTGCTCTCTCCCCTGCTCCTCAGATGGCCACCAGCACTGGTAGTTGCAGCACTCCAACACTGGGGAGGCAGAGGCTGGATGCCACAGAGCAAGGCAGCTGAATGGGAACACTAAAGCTAATTTATTTTTGCAGTCATGACATGATGGTGATAGGGTTTCCTGAAAATACATCTTGACCCCAAAGAGAATGAACTTTTCTAGACCTCACAGTCAATTTTGATTTTAATCTAAATCTAGTGGATACCTGTTAGTTATTAATTGTTTGGTTTACTCTAGCCTTCTGCTTGCTTTTGCCTAAACATAAAACACTGTAGTGAGAACACACTACAAGTAAAGGTCCGGGACCTGCTGTAAGTAAATGTTAACACAGGACCATTTCCCTCCCACTGCTAATAGCGGCTTTATTTGTAAATAATAAGGAAGCTGAGCCTTCACAGAAATTGACATTTTTTTTTTCCTGGTGCCAGTCTTGAATTGTTCATAATCTTGAGTCCCTGCACTTCCCTAGTTTTGTGTCCCTTCTCAATGGTTCCCAGGCCATCTTTGTCATATGTTTGCCCATCTTTACTCTTTCTTCATTATTTATTCACTTTACATCTCCCACTCCCTCCTCTCCTCTCAGTCCCACCCTCACAAGCCCCTCCCCAATCACCCCTCCCCTTCTTCACAGAGAAGAAAAAGCTCCCCATGGGTACCAACCAGCTCTGGAACCTCAAGTCATAGCAGGGCTAAGCGCACCCTCTCCCACTGAGGCCAAACCAAGGCAGCCCAGCGAGGGTAAAGGGATCCAAGGGCAAGCAACGGAGTCAGAAGACAACCCCACCCCCCACCGCACAAATTGTTAGGGGACCCACATGAAGACCAAGCTGAACATCTGCTACATATGTACAGGGAATGTAGGTCCAGCCTATGTGTGCTCTTTGGTTGATTGTTCAGTGTCTGTGAGGCTCATGGGCCCAGGTTAGTTTACTCTATAGGTCTTCTTGTGGTATTCTCGACCCCTCTGGCTCCCTCAATCCTTCCCCCTACTCTTCCACAAGACTCCCCGAGCTTGGCCAAATGTTTGTTTGTGGGTTCCTGCAGCTGTTTCCATCAGGTACTGGATGAAGCCTCTCAGAAGACACTTACGCTAGGCTTCTGTCTACAATCATAGCAGTATATCATAGTGTCAGGGGCTGGCTCTCTCCCATGGAATGGGTCTCAAGTTGGGCCAGTCATTGGTTGGCCATTCCCTCAATCTCTACTCCATCTTTATCCCATCACATCTTGCAGGCAGGACAAATTTTGGCTTGAAGACTTTGTGGGTGACTTGGGTGTCTCCTCCCTCCACTGGAAGTCCTACCTGGCTACAGGAGGTGGCCACTTCAGGCTCAGTATCTCCTGTTGCTAGGAGTCTCAGCTAGCATCACCCCCATAGACTCCCAGGAGCCTCCTCCATCCCAGGTCTTGGCTAGTCCCAGAGATTCTCCCCACCAACCTATTTCCATTCTGATCCCCAACCCCATTCTCCTGTTTCCTTCTCCACCCCTGTTCCCCTCCACATCCTATCCCCTAGCCAGTTTCCTCCTCCATCCATCTCTAATGTCTATTCTATTTCCCCTTCTGAGTAAGATTCAAGCATCCTGCCTGGGCCCTCCTTGTGACTTAGCTTCTTCAGGTTTGTGGACTGTAGCATGGTTATCCTGTACTTTATGGCTAATGTCCACTTACAAGTGAGGACATACCATGCTTGTCTTTCTAGGTCTGGGTTACCTCACTCAGGATGATATTTTCTAGTTCCATCCATTTGCCTGCAAATTTCAGGATGTCCATTTTTAATAACTGAGTAGTATT